AAAAAAAAAAAAGAATGAGAATGAGAAAAAAATGGGTGCCAAACAGGGATATAGAATGAGAATGAAAAATATAGTTGTTATTGAGGTCCACACAAGAGATAGCAAATTTGAATTTAAATGTTGATATGATGGATAACGGTTATATTTTTCATTTTAATGAGATAATAATGTAGATCAAACGGGGGCTTAAATATTTTTTTTTCTTTGTATTTAAGAATTTTTAATTGTTTTAAGTATGAAAATGTAGAGTTATTATTTTGTCAATTTTAAAAATGGTTAATTATTTAACCCCCGTGTGACAACCATTAAAATGATTTTTTTTTTTTGAATTTTGAATATAGTCATTTTTTTGGAAAATGTGTTATTAAAAAGTATGAAATTTTTTTAGATTTATGGACGAAATAATTTATTTTGAAAATGTGTGGTTGAAAATGAATTCGAGAATATAAGTTTTGGTTTACTTTGAAGGTTTGGGACATGTGCTGCAAATTTCCTTAATTATATGAAATTCAAGAACACACGAGAATCGAGATATCTTGATTCTCATTTTTCACAGTAAATCAATTCTTATTTTCAATCACACATTTTTCAATAAAATAATATTTTATATCACATCAATAATTTTTTCTTCTTTTTCAACCACACATTTCCCGTCATATCACTATTCAAAATCAATTTTAAAATCGACATTGATGTAGATTATTATCAATCCATCCTTCACGTTTTATTGCATAGTAAATTGGCACTTCGTTCCGCAAAGTTTATAAATCATTTAAAAATAGTCAAATTTCATTTTCAATCATGCATTTTAATAGATTTATATGTATTATTTACCAATTATTTTTATTTATTTATAAATTAAACCATTTATAAATTTTTTTACGAAGATTAAAATTTTGTTGTTAGTGGCCAATATGCTCAATCCGTCATTGAAGAACAGAATTGAAAGTTATGGGATGATACTATAAATAAAATTAGAATAGGGGATAAGTTGGATATAAACCATAAATGAGGAGCTAAAGCTGAAATTTTCTCATTTCATGAATCAAACCCTCAATCCCCACTCTCTTTCTCGTCTTCAACGAAGAGAAATAGCGCGAGTAAAATCGGAAGAACTCAGGTGAAATGGGTCGCAAAAAGGGAGTATTCTTCAGCGACGAGGGCGCCCCGGAT